GCATCCCTATAATTACAATTACAGACCCCAAAAAGGGACCCGAATTTGCCCTAAACCCTAAACTCTAAACTCCACACCCTAAACCCTAAATCCTTTTTTTTTTCAAACCGGGCACGACTGACCTTGATCGAACGTGGGTCTGTGGTCACGGTACCCCAATCGCGATGGCTGAGCAACTCTGGGCCTATGCTCCTAGGGTTTTAGGGTCTAGGAGTCTAGGGTTTTAGGGTTTAGGGCGGCTTCGAGGTTTTTTGGGTTTCGGGTTTGGGTTCAGGGCTGCCCTTTTGGGTCTATTCGTCTAGGGCTGCTCTTTTGGGTGAGTCGGGTTTAGGGTTTGGGAATGCTCTTTGAGGGCTGCTCTCTGTTTGTTTGTTTTTTGCCACCTGTTTGTTTAGGGTTCAGGGTTCATAGGGTTAGGGGTTAAAGCAAAGTCAGCTTTCCATCCCGCTGGGATACCCCGAGCCTCTCTGGGCTCAACTCTGCAATGGAACATCGCAATCGGCACAAAAGGTCGAGTAAGCCAACCCAACTTTTCCCAAACAAAAACACACGCCCTGAGGTCTTTGTATAGGGTTTAGGGTTTAGGGTTTAGGGTTTAGGGTTTAGGGTTTAGGGTTTAGGGTAACCCCTACAAAACCTTTTGCGTCCGGGCTGTGAAGTCCTTTCCCTTGGGATGTCCCCCCCTTTATATGAGCAGTCCTTAATGGGGATTCTAGTACCCCCAATTATAATCTCGATTATAAGCCCTAAACCCTAAACCCTTTTTGCAAAACCCTAGACCCTAGACCCCAGACCCTAAACCCCAAACCCTAAACCCTAAACCCGAAACCCCCCTATTGTAATCCCTTACCCTAAACCCCTCGTCCATGGCCGCCATTATGGCGACTCGGAGGTTCAGGCCAACTGGGCGATTGGAGGGTTTAGGGAGTTTAGGTTTTGCGGTTTCGGGCTGGGGTTCAGGGTTTAAGGGTTTAAGGGTTTACGGGTTTAAGGGTTTAAGGGTTTAAGGGTTTAGGGTTAAGGGTCCAGGGTCTAGTGTTTAGTGTTTAGGTTTTAGTGTTTAGGGTAACTATTGCTATTGCTGTATCCCGATTTGGGGAACAGGGCGGAGGGGGGTTCTCTAAACCCTAAACCCTTCAGAACAAACCCTGAATACGATTTGGGGAACATGCCGGCAACTGCAGACTCACTCTTCTTGGCAGACTGGAACAGAATTCTCAACTTGAAACTGAATTTCCATGGTGGTCCGTAGGCATGGCATAAAGGACACCTCTGCCGCTGAGCCGGGGCGGGGTAGCGTATTCCCTCGGATGAGGTTGGTGTAATGGCATCTACCTTCATGCGCCGCCATGTGCTATGGGAACATTGTGAAATTTCTAGGCCGTCACATCCCAAAACGAATCCGTAAACTTTCAGTCCCAAGCCAATTAGCTCACGGTCCGATTCCTGAACCCTAAACCCTGAACCCTAAACCCACACCCCGGGCTCTTCACCTCGCCAGGCGACAGAAGGCCCTGAGGCCCTGACCTACTGTGATCCATCCAACTTCAAAGCAGCTCTACTAATTTTGGGGGATTTACGAAAATTAGGGTTTAGGGTTTAGGGTTTAGGGCAAATTTTCGGGGTTTGCCACAATTAGGGACCCCTAGCATACTCCAAAATACTAAAATCCTTGAAAAGGGAACCCGCAGAAAGGGTACCCCTATTCTCGGAAACCCCCATTTACAACGGCAAAGCCGGTTTCATGTGCAGAGCTTGTGACTAGGATTCTTGGGTTCAGGGGGTGGCAGTGACAAGCTTCAAGCTTGTGAAGCAACTGGCGTTGCTCGCGGCATTGACCTCACGATGCTAGTTTGCTAGAACGAAGAAGTCAAGAACAAAACCCTAAACCCTAAACCCTAAAGCCTCTAATCTGAAGCACTTATGTCACTGCCCGGCCGGCCATCATCCGCCAAAGCGGACCGGGTTCGCAGGGGCGCATCCTCAGAACGTCGGCAGAGGTTGCCTGATTTTGTGTGCGACTTCCTTGAACCACATTCGTGGTCTGTCAGAAGCTCTGAACCCAAAACCCACATTCTTCGGACAAGATTACGACTACAATCATGAGCCAAGCATGTGTTGGACATGCGGTGGCTTCAGGGGAGGCCTCGAGGCCTGTACATCTCCTTCTTCGACTCTCCATGCCACGCTTTTGTGCGGGGAACCGTTCAAAGACAAACAACAAAATTCTCGCAAACCTGTACGTTGCTAGACATCGATGAGGTGTGGTGTTCTTGGAAACTTGCTTCACTCACCCTGCAATTCTGATCCTGGCCCCTCATCTCACTTGAGCTGTCCGGTTGCTCGGGGAACTCGGGATCCTTAGCCGTGTTCCGTTTCTTGGAGACCAAGACTGCCAGAAATGACTCGGGTTTAGGGTTTAGGGTTTAGGGTTCAGTTTCATAATGCGCCGAACCCGCAAGTAGTCGCACGGCGCCCAAGCGTCCATCTTTTCCCGCCGGGATCTGATGCACTTTTCGAAAACTTCCGGATCGCGCTCCTGGGTAGCCCAGCAACCATATTAGAATCAGGGGCACCCGTTTTTGGGGTTGGTTACCTTAGAATGGAACCCAGAACCCCCAAAACCCTAAACCCTAAAACCCTAAAACCCAAAAACCCAAAAACCCAAAAACCCTAAAACCCTAAAACCCTAAACCCCAAAACCCTAAAACCCCAAAAAAGGGTAAAGGGTACCACTGGGCACACCAAGGCTCTACCGACAGCCGGAAACCTTCAAGGTCCTCGATCTGACGGAACATGTGTTCCGTCTCTTTCAAGCGGGCCTCTTTCCTTAGTTGTCCGGCAAGCCCCTAAACCCTAAAACCCTAAACCCTAAACCCCTAAACCCCTAAACCCTAAACCCCAAACCCTGTATCCAGGGGGGCTAAATGGTACACCTGTTGGAAAAATAGGGATTCCAGTACCCCCCAAAAAAAGTTTAAGCGCGACCTGTGCAAGCATGTCACCCCAAAAAGGGTTAAAGGTTGCCTCCTCTACTACTAAGTTTCTGCATGGTGTGGAGGGCACACATGTTCTGCATGCCAGCCCAACGTCTAGAGCACCTCACGACGGGATCCAAAGTTGGAGAATGGAGCCGAAAAAGGCTGCGGTTGCAACACATGTATGCAAGACCGTGGGGAACCAGCATCGCCGGCGCATGATGTGCAAAAAATGCACCAGAAACGATTACGCGCATCTGAAGTCTGCAAAAAAAACGATGTTCCATAATCCAGCATCAATCTTATAAACATCACTTCAGCAGAATATACAAAACCGACGAAGCCTTCTTCAATCATTACTTCCTTGTTGCAACGAAGGTGACTTGGGCGATTCATCAGAAGCATTCCGCCAGATAAGATGCCAGAGCCCTCCCAACTTAGAGGCTTCAATGGCTTCGAGATGCTTGGAGTGTGATAGTGGAAAGCAGTTGGGGCCTGGGGCTTCGGGTCCTGATATTTTCATTGTATATTTCATGTCGGGTCTAAGATTTAGGGTGAAGGCTCTGCAACGACCGGGCGCGCGGGCTCGATTTGCCACCATGACCTCATCCAAGTGCATTGGTGTCGGGTTGGAAACGTTGGAAAGCCTTGGAACCGGCGCTCTTCTGAGTATCAAATAAGTAGGGTTTACGGGCTTAGGGTTTGGGGTAACGGGTTTCGGGTTTAGGGTTTCGAGTGCGCCCCTAAGATGTGCGATGAAACGACGGGGCCTGCTGCTGGTGTGGCAGGAGGAGAGGCAACATAACACAAAGTCCTCGCCTGGGATTTCATAGCCGGGTTTAGGGTTTAGGGTTGCTCATATCACCAGACGCACCAGACAGCTTCTGCTGCGGCGACGAAGTTCCAGCACCAGCAAGCTCTCAAGAAGCAAAGGTTAAATCTCAGCTTGACTGCTGACCGATGCAAAGTCTTGAGGCCCCTTGAACGTACACACCTTGTGATGGCTGATAAAATGTGCCTTGGCACGCAGATTGCGAGGTCCTGCTTTTTGGTGAATCACATTTTCCATCAGAATGGTTTAGGGTTTAGGGTTTAGGGTTTAGGATCTATTTTGGATCGATCCCCACACATGAAACAAGTCGGCAACCACGAGTCCTATAAGCTCCACTGCCAGACTCGGCTGCCAGCGAAGCTGTGTCTAAAATGCTCATCGTCTCGTAACAGCTCTGGCCACGTTGGCTCATGTTGGCTCTACATGGCGGGTTTACGGAAAGAAGGGGACCCCCAGTATAGACCCCAAATGTAGGATTAGCACTGAACGGTGACGCTGAAAGGAACAGTTTGGCCATATAAGCGTCTTACTGTGCAACTCTGGGTGTTGCAGCATAAGCACGCCGAGCTTCGCCTACGGTACCATCGTTGACATGGCTACTGTGTTGAATCGAAACTTTGCATGAACGATCTGCTAGCCTCCCCGAAGCATTTCCCAAGATTTTCGGCTCGACGGCTGCAAAGCTGCAACACTTCGTCTTCCTACTGAAAAGCATGTCTCGAAAGTCCTTTCCGCTTGTGGTTCAAGTCTTGTAAAATTCAATTTCAAAATTGAACCCTACACCCTAAACCCTAAACCCTAAACCCTAAACCCTAAACCCTAAACCCTAAACCCTAAACCTTGTCACGAGGACAGGGAGAAGAGGGGGATGGTTCAATGTTTTGGGCGTAAGGCATGCTATGGTTGATGGCCTGAGTTTAGGGTGTCCGTTTGTCGCTTAGAAAAATTGCCCCCTACACCCTTAACCCTAAACCCTTCGGAATGGGAGATGCGGCGATGTCAGCTCGGCAAGATTCAGCAAGATGAGCGGTGGAGGTTCAAGACAGGCCCTCGGCCCTCGACTTCTGAAGACTAGATTTCATTCATCTAGGCCGTCTAGGCGATTGGTACAGATTTATTATACACATACATACATAGATACCCATGTCCATACACAGGTCTACACGCACGCACACTCAAGCACCTACTACTTAGAGACTGATGCAACGTTGCTTGCACACCCGCGCTTGGCACACGTGCGCAGGACCAACCCGTGGCTGGACCATGGAGCGCCACAAATCGTCTGAACTCACGTCGCCGGCGCCTGAGGTGCGCACCGATTCTTAGGGTGTCTCAACCCGGGATGGGCTATTCTACCCAATGACCCCCTAGAAAGGGCCCTTTATAGGGTTGATTGTGAAAATTATAAGGCCTCAAACTCGATTCTCTGCAGAAACACGGGAGGAACAGGTCTCGGAACAGGCCTCGTGCTATTCTGAGAAGCTCCTGGAAATGATTCTGTGGCGACTTCCAGCCGCCGATGTTTGAAACAACTCCTACATTCAGCAACTCGCTTCGAACTTCCAGAGAGGACTTGGAGTCTTACCCTGCGTGGGTTGAGAGTTCGCCAAAAGAAGCCTGCATGCCTAATAACAATAACAATAATAATAGTTTGAAGAAGAAGAATAGTAACAAAAAGAATAAGAATAAGACTAGTAGTGAGAATAATCAAAATCATTAGAGTACAGCCTGGCCACTGGCGCAAAGAGAGATGGAACTTGAATGGTCCATGTTTGCAAGCCAGGCCATTGACCTACGCTCCAGTGTTTTCCTGCGGGAATCGACCACCTCCTCAAGTGTTTTGGGATGCTGATCGATGAGTGAGAGGAAGAGCTTCAGGTTTTCGAGGTGGGCCGCGGGCTTTCCCTGCGAGGGCTTCGAGGTTCGTGTCGCCCAAGCTGCACTCGAGTCCATGCCCCCATCGTGACTGTTCTGGGCTCCATGCGCGTGGGACATGGAAATCAACGACAGGGCTGGATGCGTGCTAGAGCCCTCTTAAAGCTGAGTCTGGGCCAAACTGCAAGTGAAGCACAGCCATGCCTACGTAGAGCAAGCATCACACCACCCACCCAGAGGGCCCAATGCCCCCCTTAAAGAAGGAAGGTGGCAGAGGTTTAGGGTTTAGGGACTAGGGTTCAGGGTTTAGGGTTTGGACCCCGATGCCAGTTGAAGCCACACCCCTTGATGAGGCAACATGGCGGCGAAAAGGGCAAGGCATCTGACGAAGCGGTGCCTTCTTGAGCTCGGCCCGCAAAGTGTAATTTCCCTCCTGGCCCAGCGAAGGAAAAAGGAGGGATAGGGTTTAGGGTTTAGGGTTTAGGGTTTAGGGTTTAGGGTTTAGGGTAGGGTTTAGGGTTTAGGGTTTAGGGTTTAGGGTTTAGGGTTTAGGGTTTAGGGTTTAGCGTTTAGGGTTTAGGGTTTAGGGTTTAGGGTTTAGGGTTTAGGGTTTAGGGTTTAGGGTTTAGGGTTTAGGGTTTAGGGTTTAGGGTTTCGGGTCTAGGGTTTAGGGTCTAGGGTCTAGGGTTTACGTAGGGAACCGAACCCTGTAAGGTGCACAAGCCCCGAGCTGCAGTCGACCCTGTTTGCCATTGGCCCCCTAAGCCCTAAACTTGGGATCTTCCCCTTTGTACTAACAGTCCTTACTAGGGCATAATAGGGCGTACTAGAATCCCCATTAAGGACTGCTAGAGGGGGAACATCCCACCCCCTAAACCCTAGACCCTAAACCCTAGACCCTAAACCCAATCGCCCCTTAGACCTTTGGTACTCAGTTGACCCGGCCCAGGGTCCCTAGAGTTTAAACCTTTTGCAACAGGCTAAGCCTGGGTTTAGGGTTTAGGTTTTCGGGTTTAGGTTTTAGGGCTTAGGGTACAAGCTACACCGCAAGTTGGGCTCGAAGGGGGGGGGGGGGGGGCTCATGGCACTTTAAGCGGTATAGTGCGACCACCGCAGGCAACCCCCACCCCCTGCATCATAGCTTAGTGGCTTAGGGTTTAGGGTTTTGACAAGGGTTTAGGGTTTAGGCTTTCTTTTCTTTTTGGAGGGGGGGGGGGGGGAGGGTCTAGGGCTGGGTTTCGGGATAAGGGGCTCAGATTGCCGGGCTTCGCGGCTAAGGGTTGTTTATGGGAGGGGGTTAACACAGCCTGTGTGTCCTAAGAAGGATAAAAAGTAAATATAATAATAAGTAACTATAATGATAATAATAATAACAATAATAAGAAATAAACATAATTACTAAGAAGGATCTTGCTGCTGGTTTTTGAAGATTCCACTGCGGATCCAGCTTTGTTGCGCTTGATGCAAAGTTCACTTTTGCTGATTCAGGTTCGTTCAGGTCCTGTCCCTTCGACTTGTGTCAAACTAAGAGGTATGTCCAGCACGCCTGCCAAATCTTTCTTCACCTCTGGTTTAGGGTTTAGGGTTTGGGGTTTAGGGCTACGAAAGCAACCCCTTTTACAACTCTTAGGGAATCCGGTCAGCTTTCCGGACTGATGGTAGAACCGCCCACATTGTACCCAACACTGCTATTGGCTATACCCTTAAAGATCTACTTTTTGGACTTGGGGTAGCCCTGTACCCACATTATAATAAGGGCTCCCTTTCTGGGATTGCTTACTTTATGAGGGAACCTAGGGAAAAAAAAGGGGGCACAAAACCACCACCCGGCTACGCCCCCGGGGTCTGGGATGTTAAGTGACCGCGACTCAAATGGCGTCCTTTAGGCTGATGATGTGCTGGATCTTTTGCCTGCGCGGACGTTTAGGGTTTAGGGTTTAGGGTTGCTTGGGGGTTCAAAATGTCAAGTGCAACCCACATCCACCTACCGGACTTAGCGAGCCCAAACTATCCCATGGCTTTTTGCAGGGGGCGGCGCAGGTGGGAGCGAAGGTCTTCTGCTGTCGCCTGTCGCGTATGCTGCGAGATCTGCGAGGACAGTGTAGCCCTGGTTCGTACGGCAGTCTAAGGAACAGATGCACCCCTGGTCAGATTCAGTCTGAGGCCACCAAGTATACTGAGAGCGCAGTAGGTTCAGAGCTTCATCGCCCCAGCTATGGGGGCGGTGAGGCATGTGCATTTGCTGTCTCTCTCTTTCCACCTACGAAACCACCGACAGACCTCGAGCCTAACTATACTTTTCTTAGAACCTGAATAAAAACAATATGTTTAATATCCTCCTGGGTTTTATATAAACAACAAAAAATAATTCCCAAGGGGGGGACAGAGCCTAAAGGGTAACGGCGTTTATGGCCGGTGACACGTCCGGATTTCGGAGCGTTTCAGCCAGGATCTCCAGGCCAACTTCCTCGATGACCTGACTGTTTAGGGTTTAGGGTTTAGGGTTTCTTTGGATGGTTGCCCCTTGCACTGGCAGTCCCTTTTCGGGATTATAATAGGGGGTACTACAATCCCTAGTAATTCTATCAGTAAAAGGGGGAACATCTTAAACACTTAAACCCTTAAACCCTTAATAAGGGGGAACATCCCAGGGCAGTGCACCACATGGAGGCTCGACGGCCTGCGTGAAGCCCGGCCCAACCCCAACCCTAATTCTGAATCCTAGGCTGCCCAGTAACAGTTCGGGGCGTTGCGCCGAACTCGGAGGTTCTCGCGCCCGTGCAGCAATTCTTTCTGCTGCAGGGACTTCTTTGTCCATCAATCAATCAATCAAGTAACCTAGGCTAAAAAAGGGTGCCCTTTTTTGCTGAAAGGGGTTTATAAGTGAACCTAAACCCCCCCAAAAAGGAATAAGGGCACCACTGGGCATCCTAGAATCTCGAGGGGAGCTCGTATTCACCTTCGGAGCCTGGGAGACAAAGGAGTCCTGTGGGGGGGGGGGGGGGGGGAGGTTTAGGGTTTCGGGTTTAGGGTTTGGGGTTTAGGGTATAGGGATCAGGGTATAGGGATTAGGGCTTAGGGTGTGCAAGAGAAAGCATGAGGCAACAGATGAATTCCTGAAGCCCGGATGCTAAATCGGGGCGGCCCCTGGAACGTAAACTGTGGGTATGCCAACCCTGAACTCCTCAACAGCTCGCGTCTTAAACTTTGAACCATATAAGTAGTTCATGGCTGGGATATTATTAACATTCAAATTTCTATTCCTTGTTGAGTTTAAGTACCCTTGAAGATGTAAAATGTTCCCCACTGTGACAAAGATAACCGTGGTCCAGGCCACTCCGGCCACTGCGGCAGCCGCCCCACCTTTTTCTTGAGCAGCTGCGCCTTAACTGGGAGGAACCGATTATAACTGTAGCTATAACTGTACTTAGAACCACATTAGGGCACTTGAGGGGCTTTATGAGTGGGTTAGAAGTACAGTTATACTTGGTGAATAGGTACCATGAACCTCCAAGTACTTGGTCGCCAGATCCCGAACTGCTGAGCGCATCGACATGCCTACAAGTCCCTGATGAACTAAGCCTGCAACTCTCTTTGAGCCTTAAACAAGCCAAAATACAACTACAGCCCCATAAGTCCTGATGAGATACCTTGTCCTAAGCCTACAGATTCAGATCTTTCATCATATTACAAGACCATGTCATATAACATTAATTATGTTCTGTACCCGCATCATGTATCTTCCATATGCCTTGTCATCGAACAAATAAATACATATATATATATATATGAATAGTTATATATGAATACAAAAGAATTATATGCATATATATATATGTATATGTATATGTATATGTATATGTTTTTTTCTATCTATTTATTACACACACGCCCGAAACCCAACTACCGGGCAAAGGAACTCCGACTGGGCCTCGGGCTTATGGCTTGTACTCCTTGCAGGCTGGAGGCATCCTTTCAAGACTTGGTCGCTCAGCAACCAGACAGTATAATAAGGCTTACAGGGGTTTAGTTTAGGGTTTAGGGTTTAGGGTTTAGGGTTTAGGGTTTAGGGTTTAGGGTTTAGGGTTTAGGGTTTAGGGTTTAGGGTTTAGGGTTTAGGGTTTAGGGTTGAGGGTTTAGTTTAGGGTTTAGGGTTCTTAGGCTTTTTAGGGTTTATAGGGTTTAGTGTTTAGCTCTAGGGTTTATACAGTTTGTGGGGCTTAGGGTTTGGGCCACCGGACAAGCAAACTACCCGTAGTGCAGGTATGGCTCTCTGTTCGCTCCCGCATAGCCGGACGCACCGCACGGGTGGGTTAGGGTTTTGTTGCCACCCGACTAGGAACTGTCACCATTTAGGGGAAAAGGGGTTGTCAACTATTTTTGTTAGGGAACCTCTCTCTCTCTCTCTCTCAGGCATTCGACCTAAAACCCAAAACGTGCAACAGGGCAACGCTTGGTTGCAAGAACAGCACATGGGCATGAGGAGTGTTTAGGTGAGGGGTTTAAGGCACCGGCGGCGGACGCGAAGCATTGCGCCCCACTTCAGCACATTCATTAGCAATCCCACAAGAACTCAACCACACACATGGGTCCCAGGCCCTAAAAACCCTAAACCTGAAGGCCTCCGACAAATCTGCCAGGTCGTCCACCTGTTTAGGGTTTAGGGTTTAGGGTTTAGGGTTTAGGGTTTAGGAGTCACGGAGGGGTGTTGCCAGCGAAGGGCATGTCAAGCTCTCTTGCCACCAGTGTGAATCTTGCCTAGATCTGTAGGGTTTACGTAAACTTGTTTGAGTAGTTCTCTACTTTAAGTTCCCTTCTCAGGTTCCTTTTTGTATAGTGCGGCACCCTTAAAATAAAAATGCGAAAAGGGGCCCGAATTGAGAGAACTACCATTACAACTGGGCTTGTATTTTAATGGGGAGGCGTGCGACACGTGTTGGGGTCGGGGTATGTTTCGCGGGTATGTTTCGGGGGTATGTTTCGGGTATGTTTCGCGGCATCATGAGCTACTTTACCTGCAATTTCGGGGGTATGTTACGGGGTATGTTTCGGGGGTATGTTTCGGGGTATGTTACGGGGTATGTTTCGCGGGTGTGCAACCCGTGTGCCCTTCTTAAGTCTGAGCCCTCCAAAAAAACAAACCCGTTTCCCGCTCAAATACTGCCATCCTCTCCGTGGAAGGTTTCGGGTTTGGGGTTCCGCAACTCATGCAGACTGCACAGCGTCCCAGAACCCATGCAACCCAAACTCAAGATTGAACCAGATTCCGAACAGCCCCCCCTCCCCCCCAACCCCCAACCCCCAACCCCCCCCCCCCCCCCCCCCCACAAAAAAAAAAGAACCAATGAATTTCATGTATTAATGGAATTGCAAACTCACATACTAACAAACTCACATACTAACAAACCCTACTACAAGCCCTGAACATTAAACACTATATTTCCACATCCCTAAACCCAACAACTCTTATAACTCAGCACGGACGGTGCAAAAACGCTAATCACCCACCCCTTCCACCTTCCAAACAAACACCTAAACCGATTGTGCTATTTTACTGTTATGTGTATATGTGAAGAAAGCCTAAAGAAAGCCTAAACCCTCAACAAAAGAACTCTAAACCAAGAACCCTAACCGTCCTGAGGCCGATCCTGAAGCCCTCAATTCCGGGCACCTTCGCATGCTGCGCGGCGGCCAGGGCCCGTGGGCAGTCCATCAAATCACGGCAGGCCGCGACGCCTTGGGCGTACCTGGGGTTGGGCGTTTAGGGTTTAGGGTTTGGGTTTAGGGTTTAGGGTTTAGGGTTTAGGGTTTAGGGTTTAGGGTTTAGGGTTTAGGGTTTAGGGTTTAGGGTTTAGGGTTTAGGGTTTAGGGTTTAGGGTTTAGGGTTTAGGGTTTAGGGTCCAGGGTTTAGGGAGGCTTCGGGGCTCAGCACTGAATCTTCCACACCTGTGCTGGTCCGGGCCTCCATAAGAACGACTTTGGTTCCGGAGCCGCGTTCCTTCCAAGAGGTAAGGCTTTCTCAACGCTCTTCGGCCGCCCTTTCCGCGCTGACGCGTGTTTACTTGGCGAAGCTGCAGCTCCACTACAGGGTTTCTACCCCTCCAACCCCTTGAATATAAAATAACACTTGAAACCCTAAACCCTAAACCCTAAACCCTAAACCCTAAACCCTAAACCCAAATGTCCCTCGCTCGCTCTCTCACTCTCCTGCTCTGCCCTCGTCTGTGAACAGCTGTCAGACTTGCACTGCGTTCATCGAGGCTCAAGCTGCTTGAAGGACAGGGTTTAGGGTTTAGGGTTAAGGGTTCAGGGTTCGGGGTTCAGGGTTTCGGGTTTAGGGTTTAGGGTTTGGGGTTTTGGGTTTGGGGTTTTGGGTTTGGGGTTCTGGGAGCAAAACAACATTCAGCCCACTCACGCTCTGAATGCTCCCTGAGGGCTCAAACATGCAAGTGGCCTAGTCCCAAGGGCCGTAGCCACAGGTGCCACCAATGCCTCCTTCAGCACCGGGTTTAGGGTTTAGGTTTTAAGGTTTAGAGTATATGCAAAAAATAGTTCAAGCTGTACTACTTGGTTGATCTCAGACCAGGGGCATTGCAAGTCTTAGGCATGCTGAGAGCATTCAACGACTCATGGTTGAGGGTTTGAGGTCTAGGGCTTAGGTTTAGGGTTTAGTCTAAGGTTCCACACTCCACACCCTAAACCCTAAACCCTAAACCCAAAGCTTTCAGATGTCTGGCTCATCGGGTCGCGACATATCCCTCGCCTTTGTGGGCTCAGGCAACCCCGCACCCTACACCTGAAGCGGATAATCGATGATATACCAAAATTGTATATCGGGACATAGACCTTGTAATAACGATGTTTGCATATATACATACATACATACATACATACATACATACATACATACATACATACATACATACATACATACATACATACATACATGCATACATGCATGCATGCATACATGCATGCACACATACATACACACATACATACATATATGCATGCATGCATGCATGCAGACATACATACAGTCATACAGACATACACACATATACTAGTATATTACACACTTCGACACGGGTGCATCTTATGAGGGGACGTCTGTGCATGCCAGGGGCAGAAACAACACAGTGGTACAAAGAAGCAACAACCAACGGCAGGGTCGACAATAACGAGATCTCCAAGGCAAGGAGAACTGGAGCCGGCCCGGTTCATTGTCTATTTTGTTTTAACCTGTTTTCTCAAAATACTGCCTGGCTCGATTTTTGCCCAAAATCCAGAAGCACCAAGTCACGAAAACTCGTGACGGCTCGCACTTTCATAAAGCAAGCTCAGTTCTAACATCTATGAGACCTGGGGCTATACACTCCCAAATTAAGCTTCTTGAAAAACACGAAGCAGCTCGAATTCAAAAAACAACACAAATCGAAGCATTGGGTCGCGAAAACTCGCAGCTCGAGTTTTCGTGACCTGGTACAGCTTCCTAACCTATGAAAAACAAAGGGCAATGAGGGTACAGAATTGCTTAACATAAAAGGATGCCCATTTTTGTTGCAAAGTTACATTGATTGAATGCTCGGGAAAACTTGGATTAGAAAGCAAGACAGTTACTGGGACTGGGGCAAACGATGCGCCAAAAAATGCTTACTCTAAGAAGTTTGCATTTTACATTTCGGGCTAGCCACACTCATTTAATGAAAACAACACCGGCTTGGAATTTCAAAAGGGCGAGCTCGTTTCAAATAGAATAGAACTCATTGCAAACCACATGCTGACAATACTACCCCCAAGTTTCTAGTGCAAACCTTAGAACAGGGTTGGAAATTTTGGAGTTGGTTTGGTGAACATAGCTGCATGTCAGCTTTACACTCTTGAATACATAGCCATAGGTTTCACACCCGCCAAGTAAAACATGTGTATAAGTCGCTTAATTTGATAACATAGCTGGAAGGTCGAAATTCTGCTGCTTGGGTGGCCAGGAATACTGGTGATCATGAAGGACACCTAGTGGGACAGCCGGTGCTTCAACAACTATTCTAGTCAGGGCTCGCCTAGATTTTCAATTCGGGCTTGTTATTATTAATCACGATGAGCCAAGGCCTGTTACCCCCAAACAGCAAGCTCGTGTCTTAAGTGGCTCGAATAGAACAGTCGATTTCATTTCGCGGTTCATATCCTTGGAAATGAACGTTAATTCTGAATATTCTAGGTAGCTTCTTTAAAATAACGGACCTCCATCTATGCTTCTCACAATAGTTACGATGTGCACCGCTTTTAGCTTGTGGGGTTTAGAGCGTTTCCCTATAAGTTCTATGCACTCACAAGCTTAGTGAAGCAGTATAACATGTAGTTGTTGTAGGTTAGCGGCCATCTGATCTGAACAAACCATTTGCTAGAGGCAACGCGCTTGTGTCACAGATGCTGTTTGGTTTTCACATACATATAAACTGCACTGTGAGAAGGGCGAGTGCCAGTGTGTGAGTGAGCGAGGAATGGAAAGGCATCAAAGAAGCTCTACAAACATCTTCTAAAGAACCGATATTTTGCTTATCGATAGTACAACACACCACAGGTAGGAAGTTATGTCTTTATAGATAGAAAGGTGGGACGGTATCGTTCTATACCAAGAGGCAATGTGCAAACAAGCATGGTTATACACAAGCACGCACAAAAAAGGAATAGATCCTGTGGGTCGCAAGTAATACATATGTGTATACAGAGTGTGTGTGGTTTTACTCAATTATTCATTTTGAATACATAGGCCTAGTCAAGATGGCATGTGCTGGAGGGGGAACTGCACGGATATCAGTCTCTCTGCAAGCAGCCATTCCCGTCCTGAAGATCTAAAGCTTCTCCAGTGAAGGGGGATCGGATGATTTCTGCGGATAGCGCATGTGAGACCTCCGCCAGCGTCAGGCAAGGCATGTCCCCTAAATCCTACGAAGCATCACCTGTCCCAAGCCCTTCATGCGAAACATCAGACAATCCTGCGCTTCACCCTAAACCCTAAACCCTAAACCCTAAACCCCAAACCCTAAACCCTAAACCCTGAACCCTAAACCCTAAACCCTAAACCCTAAACCCTAAACCCTAAACCCTAAACCCCAAACCCTACCTAAATCCTGGGGTTCTGAAGTCTGACGGCTACGGGTTGCTGAAGGGGGCCGGGCCCGAAACTCCAGGAGCCCATTCTCAAGCGCCCTGCGGCCCTGCCGGTTCTCACCCTAAACCCTAAACCCTAAACCCTAAACCCTGAACCCTAAACCCTAAACAAAGGGCATGTTGGGCCTGCTGAATGCCTCAAACCCTAAACCCCCAAGTCCAAAGGAGGCTACCGAACTGTCCAGAAATATACATATACATATATATATATATATATATATTTTTTTAAAGGGTTCAGGGTTCAGGGTTTAGGGTTTAGAGTTTAGGATACACAACAACATAACACTAGAAAACTTACCATAGGTCGTGTCATGGTTGACGTGCGAGCTCGGGTGGTTATGTTTGATGCTATCCATGTCAACCTTAAAGATGATCGCCTACATCTTGCAGTCATGCAGAATCTGAGGTATTCGCCACTACACTGAACTTGGAACTCTAGCAAACAAGGTACAATTTTGGCTTTTTTAGGAATTACAGTACCAAGAAATTAAGAGATATTTCCAAGAATCCCTGAGGCCCTACGTCTTGGTATCCTTGCCTGGCCTCCTGAAGCAAAGGCTGCCGCCCTTCCGTCCAGGACTCGGGCAGCACCTGTTTCTCCGGCATTTTTGGGAGGTAGGGTTTCAGGTATGCGTGGCCGTAAACCCTAAACCCTAATCCCTAAGAGCGCTCTGTTGCTCAGACTCAGAGACAGCGCCGAGTAAACTCTAAACCCTAAACCCCAAACCCTCAACCCTCTGGTAGGTTGCATCTGAAGCCATAATCCCTAACCCCACGGCACCCGCCTGGGTCTCTGGTTGCTTGGGCGCCTCAGAAACTACCCCAAGATGCCCCACGAAGCGATAATAGGAGGCGAAGGGTTTAGGGTTTAGGCTTAGAAGGCATTCAAAAAGGTAAAGGATGCTTTACAAGGGGGTCCCCAACTTCCATACATTTGGTAGCCCAGTACCCAGTTTGTAATAAGGGCACCCTTAGGTTTCAGGGTTTAGGGTTTCTGCAGCACCATCTCCAAAGAGCGAATATCGGGCAGGGTTTAGGGTTTAGGGTTTAGGGTTTATTGAAAGGGAACCTAGGACTGAGAACCTAGGACTGACAAAAGGGCAAAAAGGGTACCGCTGGGCTGCCAAGCACATGTGGCTCTTGGACACTGTGCTTTTTCATTGCCTAAGCATATGAAGTGGGGTTCATATTATGCTACTTATATACACTCACCAATAACATAACCTAAACCCTGCTTCACATGTATATCTGTAGACCGGTGCACGATGTTTTATGAGGCTCCAACTTGCGAGTCCTGCCTGTCACTTCTCCAGTCCCTGATTGGGCTTCTTTATCATACGGCGGACCCGCTTCTTCAGTCTTCAGGGTACCCCAAAAAAGGAACCTGAGCCCTAAACCCTAAACCCTAAACCTTTCGTTAGAGAGCTGACCATATTGGAATCCCTCACAAATTTACAAGCGCAGCTTCAGGGTCTTGGGCTCCGTGGGCATGGGGGAGGATTAGGCGGGTTTAGAGTTGGGGTTTAGGGTTTAGGGTTTAGGGTTTAGGGTTTAGGGTTTAGGGTTTAGGGTTTAGGGTTTAGGGTTTAGGGTTTAGGGTTTAGGGTTTAGGGTTTAGGGTTTAGGGTGTAGGGTTTAGGGTTTAGGGTTTCGGGTTTCGGGTTTAGGGTGGAATAGCGCAAGCGGCAAGCCGGACATTTGTTTGCAGCTCTCGCGCGTGCCAAACGTCAACTTGAAACCCCGGGCCCTTCAGCCCCAGGAAAGCAACGGGTTTAGGGTTTAGGGTTGAGGGTTTAGGGTTTAGGGTTTAGGGCTTAGGGCTTAGGGTTGACCTGATGCCAAAATTTCTGAGGCTTGCCACCTGCCTTGGATGCGCCATGATGCATGCAACTCCCCAGGGGGCCTTTGCAGTGTTTTTCTTCTGCCCTAAAATTCGAAACCCTAAACCCTCAACCACACACCCTAACCCTAAACCCTAAACCCTATACCCTATACCCTAAACCCTAAACCCTAAACCCCAAATTTAAACCCTAAACCCTAAACCCTAACCCTAAACCTTATACATCCTAAACCCCACTCACTGAATACGAAGACACCGGCAGCATGACTGCCGGACGCGGCCGCCTGAATCACGGCAAGGTTTGATGTCAGAACGTCCCTAGGGTTAGGGTTTAGGGTTTAGGGTGCAGGGTTTAGGGTTTAGGACTTAGGGTTTAGGGTTTACGAAGTTTACGGTTTACTGTATGGCCTTCTCACCGGCTAGGTTCACTGGCGGCCCTTTTGATCCGACGTAGTGGCAAGCAACTCCCATGCCAATCAGTGTGATTGGAAGCTCTGTTCCCTTCTTTGGCAGGCGAGCAACTGTGTGGCCGCCTGCTGCCCCAAATGATACCTAAACCCTAAACCCTAAACCCTAAACCCTAAACCCTAAACCCTAAACCCTAAACCCTAAACCCTAAACCCTGTACAAGTGGCTTGTGCTCGAAATCGATGCAACTCGAGGCTAGCCACCCTCAGTAAGTTTGGCCTAGGAGTTCTGGGGAAGCTTAGGAATCAGGTTTTGCCGGGGTCACCAATTGCTTGCTATGGTGTCGCTCTCCCTAACCTAGGGTGCTCAAACCTGGCAGCTTGTGGGGTTTTGCTGTTGCATCTAGGGTTTTTCGGCTGAGGGCAGACACTAGAGGTCGCTTGCTATCGGGCACGTGCTCCCGGTCGTCGCATGACCTTGACGCCGGAACCCCGCGAGCCGCTGGTGACGGGCTTTGGCTGAGACTTCTCCTGTGCTGCCACTAGCCGCGCTGGTCGGATCGTGAGTTTAGATTTGGTTGCGTCTGACGGATTGTGGGGTGGCTGCGTCTGCACGAGCATCAGACATGAAGAAATACCTTAAAGCAGAGTGGGTGAAACTCTAGAACTGCACTTTCTTCTGCTGGTCCGGGGTGCGGGGAAAGCCCTAAACCCTAAACCCTAAACCCTATACACAGGCCATCAAAGTTCCAAACAACCTCAAAAGTAACGGCTGATGAGGGGTTACATAGGGTCTGGGGCTTCGCGTGGCACAGCAACCAAGTGCCCAAGCATAGCCTCCACACCCAAAAAGCCTGAAACCCCTAAACCCTCAACCCAAACAACCCCAAACCCTAAACCCAAACAACCCTAAACAACCCCCCCCCCCCCCTCTCCCACCAAAAAAGGGCTCCTTGATCTCAGCGACCTTGTCCTGAGCCGCCTGCAGCTGCTCCTGGCAGCTCTCGAAGCTCTCCTCAGCATTTCGGGCTTCCTTCGGGTTTAGGGTTTAGGGTTTAGGGTTTAGGGTTTAGGGTTTAGGGTTTAGGGTTTAGGGGTTTGGGCCCGCAAGCTCTAGTAGGTGGTCAGGATATGATCGGGGGTGAGTCTTGCGGCGCCCTGGCAAAAGAAGAACCCTTTCCTAGAACAGCCTGGGGGTCAGAGGCTCGCGTAAATCCCAGCTCTGCTTTTTCGGCGTCGGCCTTGGCAGCCTCCATGGCGCGCTTGGCGCTGAAGCCAGCGTGGCTGTACTGGTCCCCTTTAGATCGTGTCTGTTTGTACGCCTTCTCAGCTGAGGACAACTTTGTCTTTGCCTGGTCCTTGGCAGCTTTGAACTTTGCCATGTCGGCCTTGGAATCCCGGAGCTTCTCCCGCAAACTCCGCAGGCGATCGCCCGCATTTTTCTTGATGGTGCGGGCGCGCTTCTTCCTCCTCAGCTCCTTCGCTTTCGCCTCCTTCTCCACGGCTTTGCCCAGCCTGCCCGCCGTGGCCGCCAGCTTTTCTAAATCCTGCTCCGCAAGCCTCAACTCCTCACGCTTGCCCTTGAGCTTCTGCGCCAGGGGCTTGATCTCCTTCTTCAGCCGATCTACGGCCTTCTTCTTCTTCGCCGCCTCCCTGGCGGCAGTCTTGGCTTCGCGCTTGCTGGGAGGAGCTTTCATGGCACGCTTCTTGGACTTCGGCTCCTCCTCTGCCGGAGAGGCCGCCGGCCTCTTCTTTGCGCCTCTGGCGGCTGGCTTGCGAAGCACGGCCGCGTTGCTGCCGTCCTCGTCCTCGTCGGCCTCATCCTCCTCACCATCCTCTTCTTCCTCTTCCTCCTCCTCTTCCTCCTCCTCTTCCTCCTCCTCTTCCTCCTCCTCTTCCTCCTCCTCTTCCTCCTCCTCTTCCTCCTCCTCTTCCTCCTCCTCCTGCTCCTCTTCCTCCTCCTCGTGGAAAGCCGCACGCCGGTTTCCTGCAGGTTTCTTGCGGAGGCCGCTCGATCGCGCTGCCGGCCTCTTCATAGTCGGAGCCATAGCGCTGGGGTTCGGGCTGCTCTGGGTCTAGCACGCTTCCGCGATCGTGGAGCAGACCGGCACGTAAAGGTAGGTATCTTCATGTTGTGGCGCAAGGTTGGCAACCCTACCTGACGATGCAATGTGTCGTCTCACCATGCCGAGTCACTGTAGAGCCGAGTGTATGGACTTCATGGAGCCAAAGCGCTGAGAGAGCTTTACAGAGTTGCCAGGTTCCTGAAGAAGGGTCTGTGTAGCTGTGGCAGCTATGATATGCCGTAAAGTTGATCATGAACCCGTTTAGGCGGCACAACCCTAAACCCTAAACTCACCACAGCCGAAGGATGCCAGAAGACCCTCAGAACGCGATGCATTCTTCAGAGACTGCCCTTTAAGCCCTATTCTGAAAGCCACCCAAACGTGAGGGTCTACTGTACCCTCCACACGAAAGCGATTAAGGGCCGGCTGACTGCTCGTAAGGCAAACCCTTTCGCATCAATCCATGAGCTCAAGCATGCACCCAGCATTCACTCGGCTTTTACTCTCCACCCGCAAGACAAGCAGCAAGCCCTCATGTCAAGTTGTTAACAACCCCCCCCCCCCCTCTAAGAGTGTGTGACTTGACGCGATGGTTCAGGGCTTCGAACTGGGCCGACCCGACCTGTATTTGGAGCCAGCAGCTTCACGCCAGCGCCCCAATACAGCGGCCCATGACCATCCCGGTCCCCACCCAGTTCTTGCGCTCTGGATGAAGAAAGGGTCTCAAGGGTTGCAAGGGTATGGGGCTTCGGGTTGAAAAGCTTAGGGCCCTATAGGAGGAGGAGGGGGGGGGGGTTCAGACTGTTTCTCCGATTCTGTGCTTGAAAAAAAGTCGCGGAACGAGGGACGCTGAAGGAATGCGCCCATGACACGCCGACAGCCTCCGAGATCCGCACCAACTGCGAGGCCTTGCAGAGCTGGGCACGGTGCAGCTTCGGCCACATATAATGAAGGGGCCTTAATGGTTGTAATAAGGTTCCCTTTTTTTTTTTTTTGGGGGGGGGGGGGGTATTATAGTATATTATATTTATGTATACTATAAAGGACTGCAAAAGGACCAGAAGGGAATACTCTATAGTTACTCCGACCCATAGTGATACCACAGTGGGTCTGAAAGCTGCCCCCCCTGCCTTCACCAAGCCCTGCAGGTCGGCGGCCGCAGCGGCGAGTGCAGCAGGTGGGCCCTGGGCAGACGCGCGTCAGGAAACAAACAGGGCTTGGGGTTAGGGTTTGGGGCTTGGGGCTTGGGGCTTGGGGTTTGGGGTTTGGGGTTTGGGGTTTAGGGTCCTCGTGGCTCAACAAAGTACCAGCCAGGATGGGCGATTATACCCTATAGCCCCTTTAGCCCATCCGGGAATGTTCTCCAAGTTTTTGAAGGCAACTCTCAACCCATGGTCTGCCTCGGAAAGCTTCACTGGCACCTTCGCTGGTGTTGCCAGTATTCGCTCGACCCCTGCGCGCAGGTGGAGAAGTTGCCAGATGACTTCACATCTGTGCATTTGGGGGTTTACCATAATAAGGGACTCCCATTTTCCAGAAAAAATATACAAGCTTGACGGGAGAAGATATATGTGGGGGTTTCCGAAAATAGGGGTACCCCTTTTGGGGGGTCCTTTTAAGGTGATTTTATTCTCTTTGGGGTATAAGAGGGGTACCCTATTTTGGGAAGTAGTGAGAGCCACGACGGAATGCTGCCAAGAGCCCTGCAACCCTAAACCCTATAAACCCTGTAAACCCTGCAAACCCTGTAAACCCTAAAACCTTAACCCCTAAACCCCAAACCCTATAAACCCGAAACCGTGCCCGCTAAACCCCTAAACCCTGTAAACCCTATAAACCCTATAAGCCCTATAAACCCTTTAAACCCTATGAACCCTATAAACCCGATAAACCCGATAAACCCGATAAACCCGATAAACCCTAAACCCTAAACCCTAAACCCGAAAGACCCACCTCGAAGTCCAAAGGCAGCAGCCTCGGCAGCGGACGGCGGCCTGCATGCGACACATTTGCCCTCTTAAGATTCGAGAGTGGCCGGCCGTGGCCTGTAGGTTTAGGGTTTAGGGTTTAGGGATTAGGGATTAGGGTTTAGGGCTTAGGGCTTAGGGATTAGGGTTTAGGGTTTCCTTGTGCCCGAAACTTCCTAAACCCTTCTCACCAGTAGATGCAAATCCAGCTGATGGGATGGAAGGCAACCCTAAACCCTAAACCCTAAACCCTAAACCCTAAACCCTAAACCCTAAACCCTGGCTGTACCTCCACCTCCTAGCCCCCCTAGCGAACACAACAGTCAGCATCCTCATGTAGCAGCCAAGGGACTCTTGGGTCCGAAACCTTAAACCTTAAACCCTAAGCCTAAACCCCCCTAAACCCTAAACCCTAAACCCTAAACCCTAAACCCTAAACCCTAAACCCTAAACCCTAAACCCTAAACCCTAAACCCTAAACCCTAAACCCTAACCCTAAACCCTAAACCCCCAACCCCAAATCCTAAACCCTGCGCCCGAGGCAGACCCTGAAGCCTGAATTACGCACATTGCCAGGTCAGCGGAACTCGTGCACTTTTTGACACTAGCCGAGAACTGACGAATTCGACCCGAAGCTCTGCCCTCCCTATGCTTCTGGGTTTACGGTCTTCACCTATTACCTCGCAGAAGGTTTCGTGGGGTTCAAGTTGGGCAAAGGCATCTGATAACCCAGGCCACAAAGCGCCGCGGATCCACTGGCCTTCTGGAATCATCCCCCTTTCCTTGGCCAGCGATGGTTTCCAAAGAAACCCATTTAGTTACACATGCATGAAGGACGTACTCCTTAAGTATCCGTAAATCACGCTGGGGTCCCTACTATACGATTATGACTTAAGGAATCTCCCGGAACTGAGGGGAACCCACGTCTGGCTTCGGGGCGATGCGTGTGTGGGCACAACCGCCCGGTGGGGGTCGCGCACGCACTAATGTCGACAGCAACGATGTCAACGAGAAAGACCAAAACTGATGAGCTCTTTATAGTGGGGTTTAGGGTTTAGGCTTTAGGGTTTAGGGTTGTTTTCATCGCTGCAATTTAAGCCGGTGTCGGATCGTAATGGAAACGAGACACCGAAATGGCAGAAACATGCGTGCGGACACGACCCCTAAACCCTAAACCCTAAACCCCAAACTCTAAACCCTAACTCGCACTTGCACTCGGATGCTGCCGTGCAGACTCGGAACCCATTGTCTGGCGGGATTTAGGTTCAGGGTTTAGGGTTTAGGGTTGAAATCTTGCATCTACATAGCGGCTTTGCCTTCTAGTGATCCCTTAAACCCGAAAAACAAACGCCAGGCTGACTGACACTACTCAGCCACGCGCATCACTGAGGCCCCAACACCAGAAAATTGAACCCTCCCTCAACTCGCACCCTGGAACTACCGCGACAGGTTTAGGGTTTAGGGTTTAGGGTTTTTGGCTTCGGGCTGAGGATGGTTTAGGAAGTTTCGTGTTGAGGGCTTAGGTACACACACCTCCTTCAACCCACAGGACAGAACAGTCTCTCTGCTGCTGCTTCCCGCTGGAAGCAATGTGGTATACTCTCAACGACTACGCGGTTGAAGAAATGATTTTCGCTGAGAAAAAGCCCATTGCGCGTCCCAAGGTTGCCTAAATGTTACAAATTGCCTGAAAATGCAGAACTCCCCTGAACGCAAGAAACCCTGAAAAAGCCCGGATTTCGCGAGGCCCCTAAAACCCCAAACCCCAAACCCTCAACCCTAAACCCTATAAACCCTAAACTCCCCCCCTTCCAAAAGCATCCAAGCATCGGTCACCTTTGCCAGCGCCCTTGCTGAGAAGCCCTGGCTCAAAGCGCTTCAGCAGCGTCAGCCTTGCACTTGAACCAGCAGAGTTTCAGGGGAAGTCGGTTGAGACTTTCAGAGAGGGAGAGCCCCAACATCACCAAGAGATGGGCCTTGAACACCGTCAGGTTGAGGGCTTAGGGTTTAGGGTTTAGGGTTTAGGGTTTAGGGTTCAGGGTTTAGGGTTTAGGGTTTAGGCTTTAGGGACACTGGCGCACGCGCAGGCAAGGCTCCGGGCAATACCTGAACTATATTGCTCACCCGACTTACCAGCGAGAGTTGGTCTGATGGTTGGGATGGAGCAATATAGGGGTCGGAAGAACTGCTGATGTTGCTCCCTTTTGGTCCCTATATCATGATATTCTGAATATTAAGGCCCCTATATTAGAGGTTGACCGGTTTAACTTGTATTTTCCGCGAGAACAAGCCCTGTTGACCTGAGTGAGCTCTTTGATCTTGAGGGAAACGACAGACCAGGGAGTTGGCAAAGTCGTAAACGGCGAACACCACCCTATCGGGGTTTCCGAGATTAGGTGTACCTTATTGGGGTCCTGATTACTATACTCCCCTTAGAACCTTAACAAAATGTTTTTTTTAATCCCCTCTTGGGTTTTATATAAACAAAAGCATTCCCAAGGGGGATATAGAATATAGATTATAAGGGGATCCTACTATTTGGGGGTCTAGTTTGGGGGTCCCCTATTTTCGTAAGCCCCCGTATGGCTTACACTGGACCTGAAGTTCTTGGTGTTCTCAGGGGCGCCAAAAAAAACAAAACTACCACTTCAAGCACCACCGCAGCCCCGTCCGTAAAACCAAGCCACGAGGATCTGAAGCTGCTGTGTTGGGACAGGGAGCGCTTTGCTGTTTGTCTATGCTGACTCAAGGGGTCTCTGATCCGATGGAGCAAGTTTTGAGGTGCAGGGGTAAGGCTTTGGGCTTTGGGCAGCACACCTGGATTGTTTTTTTTCATATTGCGGCAGAAGGAGAGAAGGCATAGTGTTCATTCGTTTCTTGGGGTTGGTGCTATGAGTTTGGCGCGGTCAAGAAAGCCGGCGTTATGTTAGGTTGGGGAAGGGGTTTGTTGCAACTCCGACTTTTCCGAAAAGAACAACATACTCCGACACCTTGTGGACTGAAGCTCCAGGATTCTGCGGCTGGAGTTTCGGGCTGTAGCGCATCCCGTAAATAAACTCCTGAACAGAAAAATTCCTGGAACTTGGGCTCTAGAGCCCTAACATGGGGGTTTCCGAAGTTAGGGTTACCTTATTGGGGTCCTTATTAACAGGGCTATTTGGGGGTGTGTATTCGGGGTCCCTAATTTTCGTAAACGCCCGTATGTGTATGACGTGCAACTGCGCGCGTGGCCCGCCAATTGTGAAACCTTGTACCGGAAGCTTCATCTGGGCACCGCTGCCCTCCCGAGCCGCCCCGGCCTGCTGCAATAGTAACAATAATCGTAAAGAAAAAAAAATCATAAGAATAGTAGTAATCGCGATAGTAGTATGTTAAAGCAATGTCCCGGTACAAATCGCCTGCCTGAGCCTGCCTGGCCTGCTTGTAAACGCCCAAAAACTCGGTACAGCTACCCTTTCGTCCCGAACGTTGCTCTCGTGGCTACAATGTAAGGGAGTTACTAGTGGCAGTCCAACCGAAGAGGCCAAAACAACCATTGGGCAGCCAAGCAGCAAGTAGGCGGGCCAATTCTTTACCGCCGATCTCATCTTCTGAGCCGTGTAGTGGTGGAGCATGGCCTCGTGGAGTAGGAGGCCATACACCCCAAAGCAAACCCTAAAACCCTAACAAATGCCAGAAAACCCTAAGCAACCCTAAACCCAAAACCCTAAACCCTAGGGTTTTGGGCCGCCCGGCCATGGCGTCCTTCACCTTCTGCCTGAGTGCAGCACACTGGGGTTTAGGGTTTAGGGTTTAGGGCATTCTGGTCCCTTTTGAAAAGGGCCCCTTTTTACACTAAAACACAATTTTTTGCGTCCGGGAACCGTAAACCCTAAACCCTGAACCCAAACTGGCCATAACTTAGAGAATGGGAATCCACAGTGCCTCGAAAGTTTATGGTTTAGGCCTTAACCCCCCCACAAGGACCCGACAAGTTACAGAACTGAGGGAAAGAAGGGCAATTTAAGGTTATCCAAAAGCAATACCCAGAATAGGGGGTACTAGAATCCCGATTAAGCACTGTTAATAGAAGGGGGAGCATCCCTAAACCCTAAACCCTAAACCCTAAACCCTAAACCCTAAACCCTAAATCCTAAATCCTAACCCTAAACCCTAAACCCTAAACCCCCAACACCTCAAACCCGACCGCCGTGATCCTCAGGTCACGGCTTGCCATTCTGGCAGCCTCGCAGTGCACCAAGATATCTTCGAACCCCCGAGTCGAAGTCGCCCTGCCACTTTGAAAGGTTTAGGGTTTAGGGTTTAGGGTTTAGGGTTTAGGGTTTAGGGTTTAGGGTTTAGGGTTTAGGGTTTAGGGTTTGGGGTGTGGGGTTTGGGGTTTGGGGTTTAGGGGTAAGGTCTGCGGTGTGCTGTTCGGTTTTTTTCAGCTCTGGGGTCGGCGGGTCGGGTAGGTGGGCTGTATGTCTTGGGGTTTGGGGTTTAGGGTATAGGATGCCTTACACGGCCGGCTTACACCTGATCAAGGGAAACTATAAGAAAGCCGCGAGGGGTAGTGCAAGCGAGGTTGCCACCAAGCAAATTTGAGGTTATCAACATTGACCTAGCTTTCGTGATAAGTTTTCATTTTCCAGTTGTCACCAATCATGGCCGCAAACTATGCCCTGAACTTCCAAACCCTGAACCCCTGAAAATTTGAAAGTCTGTGCCCCTAAGCCCTAAACCCTTGCCTTCTGCAGGTTGGACCCAGGCAAGCTAAGTACCGCGTCAATCTCGGTGGAGATCTCTTCGCGGGCCTCTTTGCCTTTGGTTTCAAAGGGTTCGGGGTTGTTTTGACTCAGGGTTAAGAGGGTTCGATATAGGCTTTTGGGGGGTTTGGGGTTTTAACCCTAAACCCTAAACCCTAAACCTATTTTGCCAGCTGGGGCACACTTGGCTTGGCGGCTAGGATACTGGAGGCTTCGTGTTACGGTTCCGAACGCGCTATTAATTAATTATAGGGTTCTTGAGCGAGGGGGGTGCATGGGGTGTTTAGAGTTTAGGGGCCTCCCCACTACTCCTTAAGGCTCCCTAAGCTTCCCTAAGGTTCCCTAGGTACCTACCTCTCGACCCTCTGAATCACACTGTGAATTTGTTCTTTAATATCGAGTATCATGTAAAATAGAATATGCAGGATGCATAATCGAAGCCCATCATACAAATAACCAGAACCCTAATCAAAATTTACATGTATTGAGGGAGTACAACCCAAAGCCCTTTGTTGAACCCGTCCTGAGGCCGAGGCAAGTGACGGCCCTAAACCCTAAACCCTTTTTGAACCCAGGCTGTCTAGGGTTTAGGAATTACCTGTCAGGATAGATACTTGGATTACACCGCCCAAGGATGTTGTTGTCACGCTGACGCGGTCTGAGCTCAGGTCACGCCAGCGTTTACTTGGGATGCCTCTGCAACCTTCACCCCCTTGCTTCTGTATAGCACTTGAAATCCTCTACGTTGAGAGGTGCAGGGCTTAGGGACTCTTAGGGACCGGATACTCTTAAGTAAGATATCCTCGTAAAGCCTCCAAGGGAATGGATGAAACTTGAGGCTCACTAAGCACCAGGTCCATGCGCCAGCTAAGAGTTCAACGAGCCCTTCTCTCATGGGAATTCTCCTATGCCAGCCTGACTTGACTACTCCCAGCCCAAAAGAAGGCCCAAATTTCTTTCTTTTTTTGCCTTACCAGGCTATCGGGTGGGGTCGTTGAGGAGGGGATATACATGCCCCTCTTGCGTGCAAAGAGTCTCCCGCCATCAGCCAGCCTGTCTCGGTCTCGGGGCTCCTAGCAATCCAGAAGCCCTCGGCACAATGCAACCTCACCCCCGAAACAACTTGGAGGAATCGCACCGGCTCCCAACACCCAAACCTACAAAGATGGGGGGGGGTGGGGGGGGGGGGGCGGAATAATTGCTATTTTTGTTCCCTGATGGCCCCTTTTAAATTTATACTATGATAACCCCCAAAACCCTATTCTAATCATGAAGGCCCAGGCCCTACAGCGGTCCTTCTTCTTTTTCTTCTTTTTGTCCTTATCCTCCTTGCTGATCAGGTCAACCCCAAACGGGTCAGGGGTAACCTGACAAGGCAGACCGCAGACCGTATTTTCAGTGGCTCTGCTTAACATAAGGCATGAGGTGCCCTATGTGGGTCACGTCGCCATTGCGATCACTGTACTCATGAAGTACGGTGTCCGAACTGGGATTGAGGGAACTGACCATATGCCTGTTAAACAAAAACTCCCAACTTCCTCAGGACCTGTCGCACCTCAAAACCCACACAGAAGAGCCAGCCAAAACGCCTGGAACTTGCATACGAGAAATGCACGAGATGGCAAGTCCTGAAGTCCCAACCCCCTTGAGAATATACCCGATACTTCTAGGGACCTAGTGATAGTGTCCTTCCGGGTTCAACCAGTAGCAGCCAAAAGCCTCTAAACATCTATACGTAAGCATCACAGTGTCTGCGCAGTGCGCACTCGAACATTTGTGACCTCACCACCCCAATCCTTACCCGTGTCTCTACGCCAAAACCCTAAACCCTACACTTTGAACCTTTATAAACCCTCTTTTTTGCATCTGGACGAAACCCTAAACCCTAAACCCTAAACCCGAAACCCTAAACCCTAAACCCTTGTTGCATCCGGGCTATGATGTCCTGGCCGGAAAGTCTTAGCAACAGTCGCGGAAACCCTAAACCCTAAACCCGAAACCCTAACCCCTAAAACGCACCAAAAGAGGTCGCGGCCCGCAGGCTGGAAGGGGCCATTCCGAACCTGGTTTGGGTTTGGAGGTTTGTGGGCTTCTATGTTAGGGTTTAGGGTTTAGGGTTTAGGGTTTAGGGTTTGGGGTTTGGGGTTTAGGGTTTAGGGTTTAGGTTGGGGCCAGGACATGTTGAGCTTACCTGGGACCCTCTCACTTTACCTACAGTTTTAAGGATTGTATACCTACTCTGTATACCTACTAACCAAGGGGTACTTCCTACTAAACCGTAAGTAGATACCGGCACAACGGGTCCCAGGTTGGGCCGAGGATTCTAAGCGTCCTAGACATCCTCTGAGCCACGATGTGCTGACCGAATTCGGCGGTTCGTGGTCGCACACAATACTTGTTGGTTCATGGGTGGTTATACGTAGAGTCATAAGTACTCTAAGTAGCGCTAGAGGTATAGTTCCCATACTTATAACCCCCCCCCAAAAAAAAAAAAAAAACAGGAGTTGACCTCAACTCATAGTCAAGACCCCTGCATAGTCTAATCCTCCTCAATTAAGAACACTACATAGCATAGTATTCCTTAGTTAAGCGGTGTTGGGCTAACAACTTGGGCTCTCTGCCAACTTTTCACAGCAGCTGAGCCCCGGGCGGCACATCCACCCAGCTTTCATGTCCCGGTGGTGGTGGGGGAGGCGGGGGCGGCGCCCGCGCCTGATTGCAAATAGTTCTTTGAGTCCCTAGGGTTTAGGGTTTAGGGTTTAGGGCCATGACTCTGTGAACGTGGAGCTTATATGCTGCAGCTGCACCGACGCCGACGCTGCTCATCGCACACAAATTGGCAACAGATGCTGCCGGGCACAAAGGTCAGAGTCAAAATCCACGTCTCCTTCGTGCTTTCTTGTGCTTCGCGACTCGACATGCTGCTTGGCTACACGCAACTTAAGGCAAGCTGAAGGTTGAAACCTTGTGCAGATCTGCCTATGTGAATGCCGATAGGGCCGGGTACCTTATCGGGTCTTATAAGACGGATCCGACTATTTGAAAATCTATATGCCCTAACCCCTGCACCCTGAACCCTAAACCCTATTTTCGTAAACCCCAAGATGGCATGAGCCCGGCTGGCCTGCATGAACGATGGCATCATGGCCATGTTGGCACGCAAGGGATTCAAGAGGGGCCGGATCACCTCACCTCGGCTTCGTGGCCAAGTAATTGCGGCTTAGGGTTTAGGGTTAGGGTTTAGGGTTTAGGGTTTAGGGTTTAGGGTTTAGGGTTTAGGGTTTAGGGTTTAGGGTTTAGGGTTTAGGGTTTAGGGTTTAGGGTCCCTCTAAATTGACAACTGACAAAAGCAAGCCTTTAAGGGGACGTGTCCTGCTGGGATTCACTTGCAATTGGCCCGGGCCCGGGCCTGAACCTATCTCGCCACATGCGTTCCAAAAAAGTGCCGCAGAAAGGTCGCAACAGTCTCTGTGAGTTCATCCTAAACCCTAAACTCTAAACCCTACACCCCAGAAGAGAAGAAACGAAGAACTCACGTATCTGCGTCACGCAAGCCCTTTTCTTCAAGGTTTCGAAGCCTCGAAACCGGCCCAAAACGCTCCCTTGCGCAGTTTTGGGCTCCCTAAAGAATCCCGTCAGTCCTCTTCTGGGGAGGCTCCCTAAGAATCTAAAAAGGGGGGGTGTGTACTCTCATTGGCTACAGAAAAAAAGTAGGTTTTTCTGGCTTCTGAAGTGATTTAAACACTACACCCAAAATAACCCCTAAATCCTAAACCCTAAATACACCCTAAACCCTAAGCCCTAAGCCCTAAGCCCTAAGCCCTAAACCCTAAACAAACCCTACTAAACCCCAAACCCTAAGCCCTAAGCCCTTTGCAGGGCCAGCCGCCGTCACCCCGGAATGGCCCGTCGGCGGATGGAGAAGCATCCGGGCTGGTGTTCCAGGTGGCCTCAAAATACATACTGCTATGATCTTACATGGCTTGGGGTTCAGGATTTCAGGGTAAATAAACAAATAGACTCTATTATATGTAATATGAGATAGATATGTATGTATTTATGTATGCATGTTTTGTTTTTTCTCTTGCTTGATTTCGGGAATTATTTCATACTGTTTCGGGGTTCTACTGGCTTTCTTCCGGTTGTCTATTGGGCCTAGCTGCGAGGGAGGTCGCTTCGCATCTTGTCTCGTGTTGTTGTCTCTCGCACAAAGTACAATGATTCGGGAGTCGCGGGCATTGGGGCTTGCTCACCCTAAACCCTAAACCCTCAACCCTGATTCCAGGAGAGCAGCTGCAGACCGAGTTTACGGGTCGAGTACAGATTCAAGCAGGGCTCTGGCACATGAAGGAGAACCTTCTCTGGTGGTGGTGAAACTAGTAGTTGTCACGCTCGTTCGCAATATTCTTGGTAGTGGAAGTAGTAGTTGTCATTGTTGTTGTAGTAATTGGTCATAGTAAAGTCGTGAATGTATTCATCCCTAAACCCTAAACTCTAAACACTAAACCCTAAACCTGATACTGCTGTCAAGCGGCGTATCCAGATCGCCCCCACCAGGGGGTCGCCTGGGCCTTAGTGCCATGCTCAAAGTGTACAGAGATAGGTGCCAGAATTAGTACCTTGGGGGGCTGGGTTTAGGGTTTAGGGCTTGTGGTTTAGGATTTAGGGTTTAGGGTGGCAGCTCTTGCTTCAACGAGATTGGGCATGGGAGCATTTACCGCTCTGCGCTTCTGCAGCTCTGAAAGCCTTACCAGCCCACTGAGGTATAGCCACACTAATGCAGCACCAGGACTTACAGCCACAAGCCCCTGAATTAGGCCCTGTACGATACGCCCCCTGCCACCACCCCCGTAGGGTTTAGAGTTTAGGGTTCAGGGTCCCCTCCCTCCCCAAGCTGCGTCAGGCCACAGTGGAGGACATCGCCGCATCGCCAGCAAAGGGCGCGTCCCGGGCTAGCTCGCCTGGACCACGGCGGTGTTTGGGTTGTCGGTTGGGCTTGCACGCCGACACCTCGATGCAAGGATCCTGACAAGCATGATTGTTGCCAATCCGCACGTCACTCATGTATGCAGCTGTTTCAGATACAGTCCCCCCTCCCCCTCCCCCCCCCTCCAAACATGCGAGCGAAGGCAGCAAGCTGCTGTAGTGAAATGGGGCCGTCTGTGGTTTCTGATGGTCTCAGGCCACATGCGTGGCAGTTGCCTAGGATTCAAGGCCGGCCCACTCTCGAGAAGATATGCAGACCTCCTTCCTCATGCGCAAAAAAAGAGCCTTCCTTTTTGATACACGGAAGAACTAAAACCTAAACCCTGAACCCTAAACCCTATAAACCGTAAACCCCCCCCCCGCACCCCACCCCCCCTTCCATTGGCCTTGAGAGGCATGCCAGGCCTGGCGCCAGGGTCTATTGGGCTCAGGCAGGGCCATTTTCAAGCCTGTACCCTGAAACCTACTTGGGCGGTTGTGAAAATTAAGGTCCCTTTTAGGACACCCTAAATTTTGTTGGGTACCATATTATATTAGGGACCCCAACAGGTATAAGTACAGTTGTGTTTGGTTCATAAGTACCCTAAAGCCTAAACCCTAAATTCTAAGTGCAAGCAACGCCCCAAGTGCGCCTGCGGCTGCCAGCTGTTGCCTTCGCAGCTGGGAGGTGTTAGGGGGGAGTGGGGGGGTTACACTCAGCAGTTCGTGTGCGATACTTGTAGGTTTAGGGTTTAGGGTTTAGGGTTTGGGCTGGGATTTTTTTCCGTAGTTTTTTCCGTTTTTTTTT